AGCCATTCTTCTATATTTTAACTAAAGTGAGATTTTGGCCAGCCATTCTTCTATATTTTAACTAAAGTGAGATTTTGGCCAGCCATTCTTCTATATTTTAACTAAAGTGAGGTTTTAGCTAGCCATTCCTCTATATTTTAACTAAAGTGAGATTTTGGTCAGCCAATCTTCTATATTTTAACTAAAGTAAGATTTTGGCCAGCCATTATTCTATATTTTAACTAAAGTAAGATTTTGGCCAGCCATTCTTTTATATTTTAACTTAAAGTAGAGATTTTGGTCCAGCCATTCTTCTATATTTTAACTAAAGTAAGATTTTGGCCAGCCATTCTTCTATATTTTAACTAAAGTGAGATTTTGGCCAGCCATTCCTCTATATTTTAACTAAAGTGAGATTTTGGCCAGCCATTCTTCTATATTTTAACTAAAGTAAGGTTTTGGCCAGCCATTCCTCTATATTTTAACTATAGTAAGATTATGGCCAGCCATTCTTTTTCTTTAGTTAAAATATTAGATTTTGGCCAGCCATTCCTCTATATTTTAACTAAAGTGAGATTTTGGCCAGCCATTCCTCTATATTTTAACTAAAGTAAGATTTTGGCCAGCCATTCTTCTATATTTTAACTAAAGTGTATGAAATTTTGCACAAATATATCCTACGACAATCCCACAAACTAAAGCAGACATATTTAAAATTTGGGCTATTCTTTTGAAAAAAAAATGCAATAGACCTAACATGGAGCCCTGACCCTAAAGACACTATCCACACATGTAAATGTTACAAGGGGTTATTAATAACATTGTTATGATTCACTCTAAACATAAAATTACATACATGGGTCAATGGTCTCATTTACCCAAAAATCCCCAGTAAAGTTATTGTCATTTATTTTGCAGAAACTGTCCATCTTACATATTATAAGTTCTTGGTTTAGTATGCTCCAATAAATATTTCTCAGAAAAAAGTCTCAAACTCATACTATTGTTAAGTGTCTGTCTCTCTGAAGTGTAGATATTGTGCCACAAGTTTTCCCCCTTTGCTTTGAATACCATTCTCTCACTTGAAATTTACTGTCTTTTGAAGATCTTGTGAAGTAAAGAGAACGGGGGAAGAGACATACTGCATTAGCTCTTGAACGATGGCCTTTCTTATACATTTATCAAATTTACATGCTCCATGTTAGGGACTCTATAGAATCTAAAAAAGCTGTTACATTTAGTTTCAACTGTTGTAACACCATCATGCCATATGGAAGAGACATTACATTTCTAACTATTATATATGTTTTCCTACAATAAGTAATGTTAACCTTAAAATGACCAAGAAACAGAATATTGTTGTAAAAATGATAATGAAACTTTAATGATTATATATACTTGATTTAAGTAAAATCTACAATAGTTAATGTTCAGTATTTAAATGTCATACCTTTCAGTTTCTTTGCTGGAGGTTCAATTGATTTTTTTTAAAGCCTGGTGGGGGTGCACTAATGAATGGTTGAGTTTTTTGATTCTTAGATGAGGGTGGAGGAGGAACTTTAAAACCTTCCTTGTCTACATCCATTGCTTCAACATGGTACTCTGGCTTCTAAAAAAAATCACATTTAACACTGTGGTTAGATCTGTATCTTGGGAAAAGTACAAATACCCAACAGAACAGAATATGTTTTAGTTCTTTAGAAAACAGCAAAGTTAAATTAACAATTGTTAATTAGAAAAGTATATTCAGATCCTAAAAATCTCTATGAAACTTCACTATAAACGTACATATTCTCTTTTTTTGTGTGTGCACGTACGATGCTTGTTGTTAGTAACCTTCTTGTTCTATCAATTAAAACATAAACTAAGGTATGTTATAATCCACAATCAAGTAGAAATATTCACTGATAAACAACAACAATATTGATTTGATCATAGATTCTATGTTGCTACATCTGTACTTAAGTTTCTGTGAAGACATTGACTGACTTGATATGAAGTGTTGTCAGATTTACACTAATGAGATTCAAAACCCACGCTACTTGTATAAACTTATTGAAACTTTATCATTTCCAACAGAAGGAACGGTTGTAATAAAGATACTGTAATAAACTTTTAAGATAACTATCCAACAGAAAGATTAGGTTTAATAACAGTACTATAAATAAATTGTCAAGATGACCATCCAATGGGAAGAATGGGTTTAACAATAATGATAGTGTAATAAACAGTTAAGGTGACAATCTAACGGGAAGAATGGGTTTAACAATAATGATAGTGTAATAAACAGTTAAGGTGACAATCTAATGGGAAGAATGGGTTTAACAATAATGATAGTGTAATAAACAGTTTAGGTGACAATCTAACAGGAAGAATGGATTTAACAATAATGACAGTGTAATAAACAGTTAAGGTGACAATCTAACAGGAAGAATGGGTTTAACAATAATGATAGTGTAATAAACAGTTAAGGTGACAATCCAATGGGAAGAATGGGTTTAACAATAATGATAGTGTAATAAACAGTTAAGGTGACAATCCAACAGGAAGAATGGGTTTAACAATAATGATAGTGTAATAAACAGTTAAGGTGACAATCCAACAGAAAGAATGGGTTTAACAATAATGATAGTGTAATAAACAGTTAAGGTGACAATCCAATGGGAAGAATGGGTTTAACAATGATGATAGTGTAATAAACAGTTAAGGTGACAATCCAATGGGAAGAATGGGTTTAACAATGATGATAGTGTAATAAACAGTTAAGGTGACAATCCAACGGGAAGAATGGGTTGAACAATAATGATAGTGTAATAAACAGTTAAGGTGACAATCCAACGGGAAGAATGGGTTTAACAATAATGATAGTGTAATAAACAGTTAAGGTGACAATCTAACGGGAAGAATGGGTTTAACAATAATGATAGTGTAATAAACAGTTAAGGTGACAATCTAATGGGAAGAATGGGTTTAACAATAATGATAGTGTAATAAACAGTTAAGGTGACAATCCAACAGGAAGAATGGGTTTAACAATAATGATAGTGTAATAAACAGTTAAGGTGATAATTCAACAGGGAGAATGGGTGTACTAATGACAATAATTACTCTGTAATAAACAGTTAATGTGACATTCTAACAGGAAGAACTGATTTAATAATAATAATGGCGTGATAAACTCTAATGATGACTTTCCAATAGGAGGAATAGTAATGATACTATTCAAGATGTATGAAATTGAATGATGATTGCCAAGCTTAAAAAAAAAATTGTTGTAACAGTGATTTGGTTTAACACGTTTTTTTTTTGTTGCTATAAAAGGGAGGAAAGATTTTTAGGCTTACCAAATATTAAAAACTATTTTTGAATTAGGTTTAGTTGATGAAAATGAAGAACTTGTGTGTTCACTTCTTAATGTAAAAAATAACTTCAAAGTTAATAGAAATAACTAGATTACAGTAAACAAAATGTGTTATAGATAATAAAAAATTAAGTTGACCTATGGAAAACAGCACCGTTTAGAAGTACTGGATGTAAATGTCAGATTCCACACTTTATCACTGTTATAATCAATCATAACTTCAGGAGAGTAAAGGGGGTTTCATGAGCACGTTTTTCACCCAATATAATTACCGCTAGTTTATGAACTTAGCCTTCAGTATTCTAATGCAAAAACATTAAAAGAAAAAAATATTGCAGGTTCCAAAATTTATGATAATGAACTATTGTACTAATGATGTTTGCCCAGTAGAAGGCATGGCTGAAATTTTAATGAAAGTGTAATAAACAGTCCAAAAAACGGAAAAATTATATCAATAATTAAACTACCTACCCACACCAGAGTAAAAGTATGTAACAGAAAGTAAATTAAAACAAAGTGTAGATATCTAGGAATAAGAAATACATGTAGATAGAAACTACAAAATTCAAAAGGTTTGTCAATGTGATAACATGGAAATAAAAAGAACCTAAAGTGAACTTCTGCACAAATGTACCATACTTACTGCTGGTAAAAATAAGTCAGAAAATGTATTATTGTAGGCTGCATTTTTCTTATTTCAAATTAACTATTTTGTACTGTTTGATAGAAAGAGTTTTTAGCACGATGAAATGATTATGTATGACAGCTAGAAACTTCTTGTGACTACATCTGGGATAATGTGATAAACTCTTGATTTTTCAAACATTCTAGATTCATGACGAAAAATATTGATATCAAAACACTAGTGAGCTAGTTAATCAGCTTGCTAGTTGGTTACTTGATTAACTAGTTAGTAAGTCTTTAACCACATTATTGAGATAGTGAGTGTTAGTTTGCCAGCTTAAGTTTGTTGTCACAAATACAAGAAGAAAGTTAACAAGTGACTATTAAGTTTTAATTGTGAGTTAGGTGTATTGTTTAGTGATCATTATAGTTTGTGAAATTATGTAAGTTGTATAAATAAAATGTTTTCCTTTAATCAAATGGACTAGATTTAGCATTTTTATCAAATAATCAAAAAGATTGGTTGTTTGGTGTTTTACAGCACAAACCAACTAGGCTATCTGCCCCAAACACCCAGTAAAAACAGTAAAAGTAAATTGAAGTAAAATGCAAAAATAAAGTGAGTTAAAACCAAAATATGTCCAAATAACAGATAAAAGAATTAAAAAACAATTATTCCTAAAAAATTGAAAATACAATCAAGTGTCACCATCGCCAATGACACTGTCCAACATCAGGGGTAAAGCCTTAGAAAACACGTGTCTAAAATTGTGCTGCTACTCACGGTTGTAATGATGGCACAACAGTAAAATGTGGGCTACTGTGACTTGAATGTCACAAAGGCTAGACATCGATGGGTCAATAATACCAGATAAAAGAAAACAATGGGTTAAAAAACTGTGACCAATGCATAGCCTTGCCAGGACAACTTCCTCCTTCCGATCCTTATGGAAGCAAGATGGCCAAAGAGAAACAGAAGGTTTGATCTGGAAAAGTTTGTTATGACGTTGCTAACCCCAAGTCGACTGCCAACTGGTGTGAAGCTGAGCCTTGAAGACAGGACGGTAGTCTATGTATGGGACAGGCGCGGCTGTGACAGCACCAGAGCAGATGGACTTAGGTGCGGTGTCAGCAAGCTTGTTCCCATGAATACCGACGTGGCCAGGTATCAAGAAAAACTGGATGGAAATGGAAGATAGAGATAAATTTGCCAGTTGTTGTTAAATATCAACAATTCCAGGGCCAGTAGAGAGCTAAGAGAATCAGTGTAAATAGTACAATCACTGTACTGCATAGCTTCTACATGATCCAAGGCAAGAGAAATAGAATACTACTTGGCAGTGAACACAGAAACTGTAGAGGGGATCCTGCAAGCAACTACTGAACCACAGCATACCATGGCAGAGCCTACAGAGTCACCCGATTTTGAACCATCTATGTAAATAGGAAGAGAAGAATGGCTCGAAAGATGTTTAGGAAAAAGAAGACGGTACTTCCACTCGGGAGTATCTGCTTTCTTCAGATAACTCAAGGAAAGGTCACAGGCAGGGATGGTAATAAGCCATGGTGGAATGGGCTGATCATTGGGGACAGCAATGTCATCCAATGCCAATCTCAATTCAGCCAGTTGTGCCCAGATACGAAGGCTAAAGGGAGGAATTGCAGACCATCTGTTCTAAAAGAACACGGCCCAATGAGGAAGAAAGACACAATCCCAGGTGGGATGCTGTGGTAAGGATCGAAGCTTGGTAGCATATTGCAGAGAAAGTTGCAAACAACAAAGATAAAGAGAAGGTTCGTGGGACTCAGTGTACAAACTCTGGACTGGAGAAGTGCAAAAAGCCCTGGTGCAGAGCCAAAGCTCCAGATGGTGAATGGCGTCCAGCATCTTCAAAGCCGAGGCCCTGGCAGAACCATAGACCAAAGACCCATAGTCCAGTTTGAATTGAATCAGGGAACGATAGATCCTGAGCATAGAACATCGATCCACTCCCCAAGAGGTGGAAGAGAGGATGTTCAGAGCCCTTATACACTTGACACGTAGCTGCTTGATCAGTCTTGAATGTTCTTCAGAAAAGCAAAAAAGAATGCATAGCTGAGATATTATGACAGCAATCATTCTAATCCCACACCTTATACCAATCAGAGGTAAAGTCCTCATCCAGAAAGTGAAGGCTATGAAAAAATAACTCTCCGATCCAAAATGTCAGTGCAATGAAGCTGGGCATATTTCCAGGTACTCTTAACAAGGCTTTCTAGCTATGTGACAAAAGTTGTTACAGATTCATCCAAGCTAGTCGTGGAATGAAGGTAAGCTTACGGTCAAAGATAAGCTCCCAAGAACTATGCCCTACTTAAGACCACACAAATAAGTAGTACTTAGTATTTACAGCGCATTCCATGATTTTTCAAGACTTCTTTAATCCTCTCACGGAAAGACTCAATGAAGTGCTGAAAGTCAAGATACCTTTTAGATTCCTCCATGCAGACCTTTAAAGGCACCATTACTCAGCAGATTTCTTTCAACATTATGAAACAAAGTTAGATAATTATGGGGTTAAAAAACTTTTGGCCATAGCATACCATTTAGAAACAAGTAGTTCAAATTTATTCCCACCTGTGCAAAGAATCTTGTGTTACAATTAGAAAGACCAGGATACATGATCTTTTACAAAAGCAAGTCTCTTTAATATATTCATTTGTGCAGTAAGACATTTTTGCTACTATTCCCTAAAGGTCACATTACTTTTTTAGTTCAATTCCAATTAATTTTAGGACATAACCAAAATTTACGACGTTTTTTTCGAGCTTATGAGTGAGTACGTGATTGATAAGAAAATAAATGTAAGGAGATAAGTTACATTTCTAGCAAGAGTTTTATTTAGCCATTCTTTAAATAAGATTACTTTTAACAATTTATTAAAGGATTCAATGTTTTTTGTTTTTTTTGTGATTCCAATGAAGTTTAAGACATTGCCCAAATTTAGTAGTTCATAATAAGGATAGACCAGGTTTTGACTAAACAGTAATAGAGTGCACGGCAAAAACCACCTTAGAAAGCAAACTCATTCCCAAAATAACACTCAAAATTTTCCTTTTCAATACTGAAAGCTATACATGTTTAAAAAAAATGCAGAAAAAATAAATTATCCGATACTTAGGATGAATCTAAAAACTGCTCAATTGTTCATATTATTATTATTTTTTTTTCTTTTGGCCAGCTTACAACAAAAACAGCTTGATATATTGCACCGAAACACATTAAAGAATACTAAGTAAAAGACTGCGAAGGTCGTAGGGGTATTGAAAAGTCAGTTTGTTTCTTCTATATTTTACATAAGCTAGAAAACACCATAATTCTAGTGTAAATGATGTTACCATTATCCCTTACGGTGTTCTTTTATCAAAAAGCTTAAGTACAGGGTCAAACAGGAATTATCAGCCAAAAATAGAAGAACATTACATGACTGTAACATGTACATACTCAATGCTTTGTACACTATACAATCGGTGTCCTTAGGGAGCCAACCCTTATATCATGAACTACAATCGTGGTTCATAATAATATGAGCATAAAAAAAAGTCAGTAAACAAGATTAATAAAAAAAATTGGGAATTAAAAACCTGCAAATAGGGATCACAAAAAAGAGCAAAAAAACAAGATTGGAGATAATGTAGATATTATTTACTCAAACTACAAATCCCTATTTTTGCTCCACCAAGTGTAATTCTCGGTAACAGCATGAAGCCAAAATAGGGATTTTTAGTTTCAGTAAATAATATCTACTTTTTTACAATCTCTGTTTGC